ATCACTAAAAGTGTCTGAGTATGGTTACTATCCTTTATAATCAGTCAGTTAAATTGTTAATTCTTCTTTAAGTTAAGCTCAGAACGTACTGTGATAATTTTTTGTAAAGTGTAGAAACATATTTAAATACATGAACCATCAGTTTCTCAGACCAAGATCCCCGTTCAAAATATATTGTTGCCTCTGTTTTTTTCAAAGATAATGACAGGGATGACAATATGTATTTTACAGAGATTTTGGTGTCAGAAACCCACGGTAAATCATTTTCACCTTGAGAATCATTTTTGTTAATACGATATTGTTATTTAAAGTTTATGTTTTTGTGTTCCTAAATTATAAAATAAGTAGCGAATTGTTGTGAAAAAAAGTACTTAAAATACAGAATACTTATTTCCTTGATTAAAATTATTTTTTAAAAGTTTTATTTTAATGCTCATTATTTTGAAAATAGATTTATTTTCATGAGGCCTGGTTTTTTTTTAATTTTGTTACATTCATGTATTTCCTATTTAATTGTAAAAATTAAAACAAATTAATTATATTTTATTATCGGTTTCAAATCAATTAAATTAGTGTTGTAATAATTTATAAATATTTTAAAAAATTATCGAGATATTTTTTAAATATTAGAAAACAAAAAGACGATCGTATTATAAGTATGAATTTAATAAATTGTTCATAAATAAAATATGTAAATGTAATGTAATTTTCTTAGTACAATGGAAACTCAACTAAGTTTGTTACCAACCTTTTTACATTATACTTTTTATCCCGATAGTGTAAACATGTGTCATTAATTTATATTTTTGATTTAATTTTATCCGCATGGCTTATAAATCTAATTATTGTATAAAAATAGAAATTGTTGTATTCATTGTAATATAAAATAATTTGTATAAAATGTATCAATAAAAATAATTAATTATTGTTGTAGCGTTTTTATTTCACTATAGCTGTCGCACGCGACTCTATCCCCGAGAGATGAAAATAACATAATTAGTAACCTATGTGTTCTTTAAGGTTATGTTCTACGTATATGCCAAATTTCAGCGAGATTAATGTCCAGCTGTTCTGGAGATACCTTCAAACATACCTCCATCTATCCAAACATCTGCATTTATAATATTAGTAAGATAATCTGAGTGTGTGTGATGTAGTCTTATTAGGTGAAGTTGTCGATTTTTTTTTATAACAGTAATAAAGTTATATGTAATCGATTGCTCGCTTATTAGAATCTAAATCATCTAACCCAAAAAACATAACAAAAATTCTAACGAAACAGAACTTCTGAAATTTACATCTATTTGAATTTTTTCAAAGAACTATTTTTTTAAACGTTAAAGGTAAATCCATTAGCAAGAAACATTACCTTTCATTTTACCAAGAAATACTTACCTTCAACGAGGAAGTTTTTATCTTGAATAGAATTTCACGGATAGCTTTAAACATTTGCACAGAAAACTTCTCAGATTCTGTAGTGGATTTTTTTTGTTAGGTTTTTTATAGCTCTCGTCCTTGCAATGATACTACATACATAATATAAAAAGTGATAAAGATAAGGCATGGATATTATTATAAACAAGTACATTAAAAAACTGTTAAAATACTAACCATAAGCTTCTGTATATCTATGTCCATCTCTGTTTTGTCAAAGACAATAACAGGGATGACAATATGTTTTACACAGAGATTTTGGTCAGAGAAACCAATCGCTAGAGAGGTATCCTAATTTTTTCAAAACATGGAAACGTATTACTTTTATACAAACAGAGTATAATATATTAAAAGTATCTCATATTAAAGCCAATTAATTGCTATGAGTACTGGATGAGATTGTTTGTTACATTCCCTTAATTATTTCTTATTAATTATCGGTTTGCGAACAGTATGTTCATTAATATTTAATTATAAATCAAACAATCAAAGGAGGGTAACATTGTTATGAAATAAGTTGTAATTAAGATGAATGTAATACGAAATACTTCGTTTAATTAAATTACCTACCTTTCATATTAATGTTGGTAGTGTGCGAACACCAATGTTTAAAAAAATTAATAATATTGGCTTTAAATTAAATTGATGGAGTCGTTCACCTTAAAATACCTTTACTTAGCATTTGTAAATATTTTTTACTATATACGATTATCATACTTCTTTATTTCTTATTATTTAGAAATTGAAAAATCCCAGTACGATATTGGCCAATGTAAGGAAATGTACTATAGTACTCAAAATAATATTTGCCACCAAAAGCTTTTTACGTCGACTTAAGCTAATAAAGAACAATTTTGAATTTAAATAGTATAGGTAGGCAGAGAAAACTTTCATAGCTATAACGTCATATTCATATACCAACATAATAACTATGGCATCATATTCACGTACCAACATTAGAACTATGGCGTCATATTCATGTACCAACATAATAGTATGTTAGAATATTTTCATTATATATAATATTCCAACAATATTCAATAGGACACTATACGCAAGGATTGGATATGTTTTGGCGCACCACTAATTTTAACGTAATTGCTTTAATCTGTTTTCGGCGTACTTCAACGAGCTATCAAATTATTGGTGGATATTTACACAAGGTAGGCACTAACAATTCTGCGGTTTGTAAACCAATACGGGATTTAGTTTATGTTCACAAAATAACATAAGCTATAATATATTTTAAGCTATTTAAACATATATGATAAGATATTCTTTACTTCAACACCTACAAAACCTTATTCAATTTGATTATAGTTATTTCAAGCAAACCAAGCCGTTTAACCGCATGGGACGAAATACTTGGATAAGACAAAACTTAGTCGAGTTCTTTATCTATAGATTGAATTTAATTATCATTGTACAGTTGAAGCAGATGTTTTTAATCATGAAACTATTCGTTTCAATCTAGGCGCTTTGTGACATAGTTGTCTGGCGCAGGCCTTAGGCGTCTGAAGCAAATATACGTTTGTGAAGATTTGCTATTTGCATTAAGCAGGGTACAATTTAATAATTAATCAGATTTTTTTTTCCTGCCTCAGTGGATCACTGGGGTAGACATATAAACTGAAAACATATTTTTATCGTATTTTTTGCATATTTCACTAAATACTTTAATTTTCGTATGAAATATCTCACGAATTTATTAAAAAACCCACTAGTTGCCGCAAACAACTTCATTAGTTTGGGTTCATCGGATACAAGTATAAATACGTTTGATCCGATTTCAATAAATAATTTCCATGTGTATATATATAAATAATTTTAATTTTGATAAGCATGTTGTATGTTTTATATTAACTCCAGAATACATGGTCTTTAAATGGCCACTAAGGAAGACTCTTAGTGGAGATTTACATAATATATATCGTCCAATTAACGATTCTGGCTGGCGTAGGATGACTTACATTAAAATATTAAGTTCACATCAAGCTTCTGTTGCATAAAAATGTATCTAATCTGATAAACAAAGATAAATTAAGTCCGTAAGAGATCAACCCAAAGTGAGCTTAATATCTTGTAGGTGAAGCTACGCTAAGCTTAATTTGATAAATATATAATTTCTAGCTTCTTTTGAGCAACTTTAGTAAAACAGTAATCAGTATTACTCTTTCTGCCTTAAATAATAATCATAGTTTATTTATTTATAAGTATTTTAAATCTGAAATTATTTTACCGAATACTAAATCGAAATCAAACATATGAAACTAACTTTTCATACATTGTTCTATCTATCTTTGAATTGTAAACTGCAATGCAATTTAATCACTAGAATACACTTTATTTAGGTAATATTTCGAGTTAAATGTTTACAAAACATTTTTCACACAAAGCGTACTACAATATTAATGTACTCATAGCTTGCTATGCAGTAGACAAGGTACGCTTGCAACGCTGACAAAGAACTTTATAAACGCTAACAATTTAGTTCGTACCTAAAGCATTGCCTTGTATTTTCTAAAGTGAACGATTAATAAATAAACAAAAAGCGTTCATGTTGTTCAAGTTAATTATGTTGTACTTTGTAAAGAGTTTTTACATTCGACTTCGGTATTAAAAACTAATGTGCACTAATTTTACACTGACAAGGCACATATATTAAAACACTAGTTGTTGCCGGCGACTTCGTTTGCGTGGAATTATAACAAATAGCTTAGTAAGTAGCGTATGCGTTCTTCCAGAATATTCTCTACTTCTATGCAAAATTACCTTTTGATCCATTAAGCCGTCTGGGAGATATGTAGTGACAAATATTCACCCAAACAAACTTTCACATGTTATATATAGTTATAAGTCGTGTTAGTTACACTATTTATAACTCAAGACCGGCTTTACTGATGTGGCTGAAAGTTGGTGAGGGGGTAGCTTATAGCCAGAAGACGGACATAGGATACTATTGAAGAGCTGCTTTTTATTTAACTTACTTTACTAATATTATTAATGCGAATGTTTACATGGATATGATGTGGATGGATGGATGGGTGGGCTACACTAATTAAGTTTTTTATATATCCACGCGGACCTAGTCGAGACGCTAGTTTGTAATATTTGTTTGATATTTAATTATCTATTTGACCTATTTGTCAGATAAAATTGAACATGACGAAACTGTATGCGTATATACTTGAATTTAGATTTGTTCATCATAATAAAACAAATGCAATTAGGTTAAAAGAAACGTCCATTCAACGCAATACATTTTTTTAATCTGTGGAATATTAATTTCTGGTTAAAGTATTGACACGTAACAATGG